CCCACAAACCACTTGGGAGCTGGTCAGTCCATCAGGCTGTTTTCTGTTATTACTTTTCTGCTTTATTTGATGTAGCATCCTTAGAAGCAGACCCTTACAGAGTTCATCTAGGAAGGGGATCCACCTATCATTGCCTTGCTGACTTCATCTTCCCCCTGTGCTGTACGCCTTTCAGCTGTGTAACACAAACTTAGGGGAAGATGAGCGAAAGAAAAGTGTTAAATAAATTGTTCCTCTGCATTTTGCTTTGAGGGGACTCTGCCCCTTGATGTTTACAATGAATCTAGTTTTAAGCAGGGCATGTGGGGGGCTTTGTTTTGCTTCTGATGACTTTGCAAACTGATACTTTGAGAGAATTGTCTAGGGAAAGCAAAGAGTCCTTTATTATGTCCGTCACTGCCAAGTGATTTGGCAGATTCCTCCATGAGATGCACAATCTGATAGGTTGAGAGAGAGCTTAGCTGGCCAGTTACCAGCATAAAAGCTCAACTTAAACACTTTCTGAAATCTTATTATGGCCAATTTGTGGTTTTGGCTGAAGAAAGGAAGAGGATGAAAAATGGAGGCAGCTGGGTGTCAGCGAAGGATGGAATATCAATGTCATTTTCATTGCTGTACCACACAAAAAAAAATACTGGCTTTCTACATACATTGGATCTAGCTAAGGCAAACATATGCACTGGCTAGGTAAACCTGCAAAGATTATTTCATTTGTCTCAGCATTTGTCTGGAAGATCAAGGTGATGTATCGCTCATCATGAGTCAGAGGGCAAGGTCCATTTGTTGGCTAACTGCTAGTGGATAGAGGGGCTGGCAAGGGCTTTTGCAGAATCCGTGCTGCTTCCCACATTCAAGGCCAGAGGGAGTCCCCCTTTGGCCTCAGTGCTAACACCACCAGTCCAACACTGGCTTGTTTGTGCCGGAGGGCCACAGGAAGGGAAGGGCTCGGGGCCGCCACAGCTCCCACTCCAGGGTAGGAAGGCTCTTCCTTCTGCAAATCCCCTGCTGATTTCCAGAGTCAAAGCAGCACAAGGAATCTGTTACGTAGGCCTAGATCTGGTCACTGAGGGGTACTTCAAGTAATGACTAGTTTCTGGTCCTTCTTGAAAAACCTGTTTGGTTTTGATCATCCCCAAAGGCCTACTTGTCCTGCATTAAATCATCTTTGAAATGTCTGAATGAAGATACATACAGCTGTTGGAGAGCCATACAGTCACATAGCAGGAGAAATGCTGGGAGCTTTGGTTTCATGGAGTAAGCTGTCAAATCAGCATTTAAAGTATAAAATTGTCAACTCCCCAGATAAAAAGAATGCTGAAAATGTAAAAATCTTGTTCACATTACAGTTTGTAACATAGTTGGAATACCATTTCAAACATGGTAAGACAAAGGTTCCATCAAGCTTTTGCAGCCAAGGGTGGAAACCGGGCCAAAGACTACCTGGGCCTAAAGGCAACAGGACAACTTATGTTAACATGGTAACAACAAAATATTTTGCCATTATGAACAGGGGCATAACTTTGACAGGTTAACTCAGAACATAAATAAATCCCTATCTGCAGAAAGAGTAGGAAAAGATAATGCTCAGTGAGGGAACTGCAGGACCTAAACACCAACGAAGGCTTTGTATTAAGCACTATTCAGATCAAGCTGGGATGAGGAGGGAATAGGAGGTTAATGGTTTAAACAAGGTAAATCCCACATTTTGTAAAGTAAGAGTCTTTAGGTTAATACCAAAAGACAAATTGTGTCTTCTTGCTCTTTTTTGGTACTTAATTAAGAAAACCCTTTGGTGAAATCAGTTCTTGCCCCCCAGCTGGATGAGCACTGAGACACCTTTGTCACAGAGCAACTGGGTGCCTGAGCACCCTGCTGCACAGGGCTGGCTGCTGCTGCTGCTGCTGCGCCAAGGAGCAGGGTTTTTCTTGGAAATGTTTATGCAATTCAGCTGTGCTGCTGCCGAAGCCACAGACACTGGGAGGGAAAAAAAAAAAAATAAAAGAAAAAAGAAAGGAAACACCCAGCCTCAGACCTCTCAGGCCATTAGCGTATCTCAGGTTTTGCCTTCCACCAAATACTGTCAAATTTCTGTTTTGTTTGGACCTGAAGGGTGGAGGGAGTTGGAGAGCTGCCTTCACTGCTGTCAGTGCTTCCTAATGATGTTTCTCACTAGAGAAAATGAGCTTGCTTGTTTGAGAATGCAAATTCCCTGTGGGGCACAGTTTGGGAAACTGAAGATACGGGAAGGAAAATAATATCTGTTCGGGCAAAGTATAAACAACCATGAAGCAAAATAGCAAAACACCTACAGAGAATGTTGTAGCTTTGCCAGCAAACTAATTCAAGTCACTGACTGAGGATGGAGCTGTGACAGTCAAAAAGTTAAAATAAAAATAAATCAGAAGTTTAGTCTAGCAATTGTAACAGGAAATTACCGCCGGAGTCAGAGCTCCTGCGTTCCTTTCCTGGTTCTGCTCTGATTTGCTGAGCAAGCTAGAGAAGCCAAATTTTAGAAGTAGCTTTTAATTTGGAAAGTCTCCATTTCTGATGCCCAGCTGTAAACACAGAAGACTTCACCAACTAGCATCTTCGGTACCCTCCTGTGCATTTGTTAAGATAGAGCATTTCAGGGCATTGGCATCTCAGAAGTCAGCTACTTGACCTGGAGAAACCTACAGTTATCAGCTGGCTCAAAGTGGCCATCTCTGAAAGTTTCCCCATCTGTGAATTGTGGCTAGCGCAACATATTGCTCTGAGAGTCTGATGTTTAAATGCTCGTTATGGCTGGCATAACATATTGCAGTGGGAGTGTTATATTTACATACTGTTTGTAAATATTTACAAGACTTTGGACATGCTGTCTCCAAAGTCACTGCTATTACTTTTGGAAATAGCACTCAGTGACCTACACATTTTCTGAAAGGATTGCTTCTTCATAGGGGCAATGAAGCTGCGTTTCCAGGTCTGACTGCAAGGAGGAGTTTAAGTAGAGTGCAACTGAAACTGAAAAGCAGAAATAACTCATCTTCTGTTCAATAACATAGTGCCAATTGAAACTACAAATAAAACAACCTGAGATGCCTCAGGAGGAGGGCGAACATCTCTCAGTCATGGGAGCTCTCTGTGCACAGGGTTCCTATTCAATTCCATGAGAATTTCTAAATTAAGAGAGCATGTGGCTCCTTCTTACACTGACTCGAGTTGTGCTACAAATTCCTCAGAGGCAGAGCCAAATTAAATGTCCATAATAAGGTTGTCTCCATAAATTGACATTTTCCTGCCCTACATTCAATTACAATCTCCCATCCTTATCAAGGGACACCATGGATAAGAGGATTACACTCTGGGTGCCTGCCAGCACTCATTTAGTCATGGAAGTCCAAATGTTTCTCATTATACCAATGAACCCTTTTTTCCTTCTGTGCAATAGTTCTGTAAATATATATGTCCTAGTGTCAGCTTCATCTTCACTGTGAGACAGAATATTTACAATAGCTTGTCAGATTGAGTGTCATGAAGCATATTATTATAGATGTTTGTCTACCTGTAACAGAAGTTGCTACTGCATCTCATCTTTTAAAGAAGAACATTGCTATGCTGAGGAATAAGCATGAAAAATAGAGAATGTTGTTTACTGACACTACAGGAGTGGGGAGGTGGGGGGAAGAGGCCAGAGTAGGTTTGGGGTCTCCCCCCTGCTCCTCTTCTGCCTGCCAGTGTATTGCAGGGAGTGCACTCAGTGTTCCTTTCCCTCTTGCTCCCACGTGCAACCCTGGAGGTAACACAGCATACACCATCTCCATCAGCCATGGGAGCCTGAGTCTCAGAGCTCCTGCCAAGCTCAGGTCTTCTGCCAACCACCTGCTTTTTCAACCCATGTTTTCACATAGAAAGCAATTTGGACCTACACACTGAGAAATCATACAAGCTCCCAAAACAAAAACAAAGCCTTTCCCAGCACATGGGTCATTTAACTTTTGTAAATTTCATCTGGGAACCCTAAAAAACCCCCAAAAAACACCACAGAGGCATGACATATAAATAAATGACAAAGAATCCTTTGATAGGTGATCATACCATTCTGCCACTATACAGGCGAAGTATCTCCCTCTAGGCAACAATAAACAAAATACAGTGAACACATGGGCAGTATTTCAACACCTGCTAGAGACTCTGGGAAAATTACTTCTTTACAGCTATCTTCAGGACAGCTGTGTGCAATACTCTCATCTTCACCTTAACATATTAGCATATTAGGTACCTTTCTATATTTTTGTTAAGTACAATACACAGATTTAGTGTATATTTAGTGATTTCTTTAGGGGACATTTAGCATTTCGACATCACGACAGTCCACTTGAGAATCACTTCCTATTTCCTTCAAAACGTAGACATCAGTGAAACCATTTACCAAGAGCAAGAAACCAAATGAAGTTCATTAAATTAATAATTTCTACTAATCAAAAACATGTCATTCCTTCATACTGAATTCCAGTTTGTGCACTCCCATATAATAATGTATATCTACATAATAATGAATTGCAAATATTGCATTGTTTAGAGGCTGTGCTAAGCTGAATTTTAAAGTTTTCTTAATAATAGGTTCTAGTGGGGAAATATAGCCCTTTACTACTGAGCTACTTCTCCAGATGCTATATGCAACACTAGCAATATATACTCAACAGAGATGATCTTATCATGATGAAATGGATATTAAAATTATTCATTGCAAAAAGCATATGAGTATATTTTTAAATACTATGTTCAGTGTCACAAGTGTTACAAGTCTTCCTGAACTTTTGAATACTTCTTACAGAAGTAACTTTCAGAACTGTTAAACTCTAGCTTCAGCATATGAAATCTTATACATTAAGGGGATATGATCTTCATGTCTGCCTCTGGTATCTTTTGCCCAAAATTTCCTAACTAAAAACCCCTTACTGAACTACTCCCCCACACCCCTTTTTGGTCATTCATTGCCTCTTCACTTTGTTTTGTAGGCTCGTCCAAAAGGAGAAGGCCTGACTCCATACCAGGGCAAGAAACGCTGTTTTGGTGAATATAAGTGCCCCAAATGCAAGAGAAAATGGATGAGTGGAAACTCCTGGGCTAACATGGGACAAGAATGTATCAAGTGCCACATTAATGTTTATCCTCACAAACAGGTAGGAGAAGTGCAGACCTGCTGGCATAAAGGCTTGGAACTAGGAATGCTCTTTTTGACTTTGCAAAGTGTGGGTAAAACTCAAACAGGACTTGATGTGGACTACAACACACCACAAAAAAATTGTTTCCCAGATGAGCTGCTGTTCTCAGTCCTGGAAATCTGGACTGGTATCATGAGAGTTGTGAAATACAAATGTCCTATCTTTGAGTAAAAATACCTCTAAAACAAAATCTTTACCTGTCTTTACTATAGAAACAGACTGTGGGGCCTTATAATCTGAGATGGAGTAAAACAAGTTCAGCAGTAGCAACAGGCCTTCTAGTTCTTCTGATTCTCTTCATATTTACACCAATTTAATGTTTCATTCCACTGGTGTCAGTGGAATTATTTCCCACGTGTACTACTTTTGTCATCTGTTGAAATAAGATTGAATTTGGTCAAGGAGGCTATGTCTATTTATAGAGATTAATCATAAAAGAGAACAATACTAAAATAACTCCTGCCTACAGAATTCCTTGGTTAATGACAGAAAAGCAAGACAGACTGGTTAAAAAGAGGTTTCTTGGTTTCTATAATACCAAGTGATGCCCAAGCAAAGAGCTTCAAGAGAAAGCTGAAAGGGTCAAATTAACAAGGAGCTCTGCTAGGAAAACTGTATCTGCCACTCTGTCAGCCATAGCTCACATGGTAGACACAGCCTTCTTTCCTGCTCCCTGGAGACTGCAGTTGCATCTGTCCCTTGAGGTAATTTCCCACATTTCCAGCTCACAGTGAGAGAACTAACTTGTCAGTTCCTGCTTGTATCCCACCAG